AGGGGGTTTCTGAGCGCCTCCAGAAGGCACTGAAGGTACCGGCCCAGGGCTTGCAACCCTCACAACAGCCAGCCCTTGGCTGTGTCCTGTCTGCAAACCGACTGTGGGGTCGGTCACTCCACCATGGTCGTACGGCGCCCGTCCCACACCTCAGGACCCTGAACGCAGGGCTCTGGAGCGGTGCTTTGGGCCACCACCACGAGATGTGCTGAGGTTCAAAGCACAGCGCGGTACCACGGCCACTGCAGACCGGCCCAGACTGCTCCCCGTGGGCACCGCACCCCGACCTGGCGAGCTGCGGGCCACCAGCAGCCGCCTCGCGCCTCCTTCCAGCGCCATGGAAGTGTCCAAGGCCTGCACACGGAGAGTGCTGGAGGTGCCACCAGAAAATCCACATCTACTGGGACCAGAGCAGGGGACAAATTACTTCCCATTTAGTCAGGAACTGACCGATACCTCCCAGGCCTTGCTCCCACAGCACTGGTGTTCATCAGGTGCTGTTAATCGGGAGCACATCGCCCATCTCACAGCTTTAGCAGATGAGGGCACAGCCACTTCCAGTGCAGCAATGGCAGCAGCCGTAAGACAAGCCGGCGAAGGCCCAAGTCACACCAGTTACTGTAGGGCAATGCTCCCCCATCATCCTGCATTTTCTGGGCCCCGCTGTCTCCTCTCCCAGCACCGCAGACCGGCCAGCCCCCAGTGCTGAGCCCAATGGTGCCTCCCGCAGAGACCCAGCAGATGCGCTGGAAAGGATGCCAGCCCCGCACCAACGCTCCCCTGCGCCCTCTGGAGCCCCCTCCTCTCCCCGCACCAACGCACCCCTGCAGCCTCTGGAGCCCCCTCCTCTCTATGGACCCTGGCTGCGGTGGCACTCACCTGCCCACATGAGCAGCACGGCCACGATGATGATGATCTCGCCCGTCTGCAGCTGCCTGTCCTTGTCCAGCCCCTCCATGGTAATGTCGCCTGCAGAGAAGGACCCGGGCAGGGCTGGCAGCAGGTGCCTCCCGCCAGCACCCACCTCAGGACCCCAGGAGCACCAGAGGAGAGGGCCAGCTCCCCCCTGGTGCAGGTGACATCCGGGCTGGGGAGCAGCCTGTGGCTTTCCTGTGTCAGATGAACCATCCTCGCTGCCGGGGGCTGACAGCGGCTCTCACAGCTTGTTTGGGTTCAGGTAGGGACAGCACAACGCATGGGAGCCATCACTGAGGTTACCCCTACGCAGGGACCAGGGTGCGTTAGGAAGGCCCTGAGCTGAATGCAGCAGCTCTGAGGACAGCGAGTGGCTGCTTTCCCTTTGGCTCTGCTCAAGTCCCTCCTATGGTGGTGCCCCTCAACCCGCTCTTATGGCTCGTGTTGGAGAGACTCCCATGCCCAGTGGACCCCCTCTGGGCATCACCTCTCCTGGATTCTTGGATCATCTCTCATGGACCAGCACGTGGGCAACCCCAAGGCCAGAAGACACAACGTGGACATGCGTAGGAAAGGAGACCAAAGGGCTCCATCACTTGTCCTTTGTTAGCTTGCAGGCTGGGAGATCCAAGAGCCTGTTCAGTATTTTGCCTCCTAGGGCAGCAGCTGAGGAGGCCACAGAAGCCGTCCTGGCCACAGCCTGCTCAGCTGAACGGGGTGCCAAGAGCTGGGACAGGGCTGTCAGACAGGGCCTGGGGACATTACCACGACCATCAGCAGCCTGTACAGCCCTGCGGCCCACTGCAACCCTGGGTGTCCTGAGCAGCACCTTCCTCGCTGGCTGCTGGGTCTGTGCCCTGTGCTGTGGGGACCCCAGGCGAGCCGGGAGGAGCGGGCTCACCTTGGTTGGAGCTGTTGGACGGGAGGCGGTCGGTCTCCTTCAGCGTGCGGAAGTGGACGCGCTTGCTGGCCTGGCTCTCCCCGTACAGGCCGATGCTCTGCACCTGGATGATGTAGTCGGCGTCCTCCGCCAGGTCCCACAGCACGCAGGCGCGGTTGGTGGTGTTCACCTCCCGGATGAAGCGCTGCATCTGCCCGTCTTGCCGCTGGAGAGGGGAGAACCGTCACCCTGGGAGGCCGCTCCGGCCGCAGCGGGCACGGGCCCCTCTCTGCAGGGCTGTGCTGGGCACGCTGCCCTCCCTCCTCCCCTCCCACGCAAACATCCACCCCAGTCTGGCCAGCGCTTTGCTATGCAGCATCCCTGCCTGGCCCGAGAGCCAGACACCTCCCTGGAGCAGCCGCCATGGTCTGGGGCTGCAGAGGCGCAGTGGGAAGGGTACGTCATGGCTGAGGTACCGTCCTGATCCACAGCAATCGCAGGGGAGCCACAGGGACAGCCACCCCATGCTCTGCTGCCTCCCAGCAGGATGGGGGGCTCAGGCAGGGCGCCCTGGCAGGGGCCGTCCGCGGGCAGGAGCCTGGAGAGCCCCCAGCTGGGGCAAAGGGGCTGACAGAGCCTGCTGTGATGGGCGAGAGGGGTCCCCAGCCCCCCGCGCACACAACCCGGGTACCTGCTGTAAGATGGCGTAGCCGATGACCACGTCTCCTTCCGGGACGTCCCAGGAGACCGTGGCAGAGTTTGCCTTCAGCTGCGTGACGGTCACGTTGACGGGGGACGGTGGCCTGTCTGGGTGAGCCAGCGACGGGCCGGAGCAAGGCAGAGGAAAGGCAAAAGGAGACGTCTCAGAACAGGCACTCGGCCCTGCACACCACCATGGGGACCTCCCCAGCATCTGCCCATGGCAGCAGCTTGGCCGGGCCCCGGGGAGCAGCTCCTGCGGTTTCTGTCCCCAGGAAAGGGGTGGCACAGAGGAACGTGGCCGAGCCCCGGCCAGCAGCACACACACACACAGACACAGACACAGACACGCATGGTGCTCCCCAGGCCTGTGGGTGCTGGGGGAAGCTGTGCGGGCACAGAGCCCCCCTGCCCCTGCAGCCACCCCTCTGTGCCACCCGCCGGCCTCCGGGGCCTGCGCTCACTGATCAGGGCTGGTGAGGGATGTGCCCGCCGCACACCTCGCCCTCCGCAGTGTCCTGCAGGGGAAGGACGAGCTCGCCAGGCCCCTGACCGGCTCCTCTCTAGAGGCCTGCTCACAGCAGCAGACACAGCCATCGCTCGCAGCACGATGTAACGGGGATTAGCGATGCCGACCACGCACCCAGGCTAAAGGCACGAAGGGCCCCGGCAGCTCCTGCCACCTTGCAGACACCGAAAAGGGAAACGCAGGAAGACCTGTCCTGAGCAAACAGCAATTAGCGTTTAAGAGACTGTCGTCGCAATGCAACCAGTCCTTGCAGCTCAAAAATCACACGAAAAGTCCCTGCAGTCTCAGAGCAGTGACATCCACACCACTTCTTCACGAGTGGCCGATCTGAGGCACCTTCGCTGCCGCTCAGACGTTCATCTGACAGAGAGTTCCCTCCATTCAGCTCCATCGCGAGCAGGAGTGGAGCAGCCTGGCACGGCACAGCCCGGGCACAGAGCGGGTCCTTGGCAGGGAAGTCCCAAGTTTCTGTAGAGCTCGGGAAGTCCAAACAAATCCTACATTGATGCAACTCTTCAACCAAGACTGACAGCGAAATCAGGCTCCTCTAAGCTCTGGGGCTGCCCCGTGGATGTGCACATCACGAATGCCTGGCACACCACCCGGAGCTGCGTAGGAAGCAGCCTAGACACAGTATTTATATATCAACTGTGACAGAAAAATGGGGCAGCTTGGAATAAACACACTGTGCAACTCAATCTGGCCATCTCATCTGCTTGGCACTGCTCCCTGCTCCGAGTGGGGAGGAAAGCCCAATGCAGACGGCAGGGCTGCCTTCCCCAGCAGCGCGGAGCCATCGGCTGCATCGCTGCAGAGCGCTGCCCGGCCACCCGCGCTCTGCACCGCGGCCGGGGTGGGATTTCAGAGCAGGGAGAGCACGGCAAGACCCCACACAGGTACACAGACCTGCACACAGAGCCAAATCGTGTCTGGAAATCAGGCACGGGAAAGCACGAAGACAGGCACCGCGGCTGCTGTTTGTGCGCCCTCTCGTCCTGTAAACAAGACAGTGTCCTTCGACGGAGCACAGGTTCAATGCTGTCATTTATTTAAGTAGAAAAAGAGCCCCAGAGGGCACCTGAGAACAAGAAAAAAGACAACGGTAACACCAACAACCACAGTTAGTGACAACCAAAGGTGATTTCTGCAGGTCAGCCGTTTAAATGCCTTCATTCACATTTGAATGCGCCCAGCTCCAGGTCAAACCAGGAAAAGGCTGTGATTCCCACCGAGAAATGCAGGTCTGTGGTCTGCTATGGGCAATTAAGACAGAGGGGGTCACCCACAGAGCCCAGAAAACAGAGATGTTGGGGCTGAGCACAGCCCCAGCACCACCAGGAGATCGAGCGTCGGAGACAACGCAGACAAGGACACCACGGTTCTGTGCCCTCGCTCAGAACGGGAGGCTGGAAAAGCAGGGAGGATTCTGACACGCTCCAACAGCCTCTGTCCACGGGAGAGCATCTCCGTGCAGTCCTGCTGCGGGGAATGGGTTCACCACGTCAACCCGAGAGGGAACCTGAGCCACGTCCATACCTGCACACCCTGCTCTGCCATGGGCCTGCAGCAGAAGGGGCTGGGTAGACCACACACAGCAGAAGGGGCTGGGTAGAGCACACACAGCAGCCCCCAGACCCGGCCACTGACCACGCATGTCCCGTGTGCGCAGGAGCGGAGCTGTTGCCTGGTTTTTCCGCTCCAGCCGTGGGTGCTCAGCTCCCAGCACCCGCAGCCTGCAACAACCGTGCACCGTCCCCAGCAAACACGGTTCAAAGTCTGCGTGTGTCGGGGGCTGCGATGTGTCTGCCAGCCTTTGGGCCCAAGAGGAACGGCTGTCCAAGGCTACTACTACACCACAAAATGTAATGAGAACGGGGACAGCCCTGGGAACCAGTGGTGGGGACTGGTCCTGGGCACAGCCTTGGTCTGCACCGGTCAGCGTGAGCCCAGACTGCGCTGGGGCACGGCTCAGGAGTCAGCACGAGCCATGGGCCATCCCGATTTGAGCCTCACAGCTTAGGGGTATGGACAGGACCAGACCCTGCTGCACAGGACACACATCCCACTATAAATCAGGTTGGTTTTTACCTGAGAAGAGCTCTGAACTTGCCCAGAAGGCAGCTGGACTTCTCAGCCTTCAAGTGCACGTGAGGAAATCAAAGGCAGGGTCTGAGCTCTCTGCGACACAGAGCTCTGTGGATGGAGCCTGTGGTAGGCTCCCTGCCCTGCACGGGGATTTTCGAGGCTCCTGCAAGGAGCCCAGCCTGGCCCAGTCCAGGTTTTCGGGCTGGGGATGCTGAGACATGGCCCTGGGGCTGAGTCACTCCACAATTTGAGCACCAGAGCAACTGCAGGGATCCACGAGCCGAGCCTGGACTGCGGTCCCCTGCGCAGGGACCCCAGGCACCAGCAACAGAGGGGTTCCCTGGGGAGCTGCCCTGGCATCAAACAAGGGAGCCACCCTGGTGTCAAACCAGGGGAGCCACCCTGGTATCAAACCACAGAGGCAGCGTCCTCGCAGCCAGCACAATCTGCTGTTACAGCCAGAGCCAAACCCCAAAGGGCCCAGAAGAGGAAAGGGGAGGGCGAGAGGACACGGTGGAGCCATGGCACACATGGCCAGCCCGTGCTCTCGTCAGTGCGCTTTGTGTGGGCTCCAGGCACGCGGATCTGAACCTGTGGGCAGCAAGACCCAGAGGTGTCCAGACTGCAGCTCTCCATCAGAAGAACGAGCGTCCCTCGGTCAGTTTGCCGTTCAGCAAACTGCAGAGAAGACGTTTCTGAGCACACAGGATTTGCACGCCCAGCAGGAACAGATGGGACAAGACATTTCAGAAGTTGAAACCAGAGAAGTTCACCCTAGAAACGTGGAGCGATGTCTAATCCCAAGGCTATGCAAGACGAGGCCTCGCTGCAAGGTGTTGGACTTCCAAAGGACAGCTCACCCCACAGGAAGCTTCGCGTATCATCCCCACGTTAAGCCGAATGCTCTCCAGACTGCAGCTGAGGTGGGAGCAGTTTCATGCCAGAGCTGCTGCCATAAAGATCTGTGAGTGCAAGGGCTCCAAAAAACCTACTCTCTGAAGCCAACTATTAAAAACATCCCTGTAAAGCCAAGATGCTCCAACACCCTGCTGGGCTCTCCGGGAAAAGCACACCACAGCCAAGCCCTGCCCAATGCATTAATCGCTAATGATTCTGCATCATTTATAAGTTATCCAGCTTCACTTTTGATTAGAGCCACATTAAGGAACGGGCACCACCACAGGAAGAGCAATCACTTACTGGCGGCCTGGCGCACCTTTCGTCCTGCAGTACAGCAGCGCGCTCCCTTCAGCTCTGCCCAAGCGGTGGGAAGAGCTGGTCCTGCGCGCCAGAGCCAGCGG